TAGTTACTACCTACAGTTAGTAAACTGGGGATATTTGGCTAAAATTTCTGGTAGCAGATCATTTTGAATGAAATATTTACACATCGTTGGTACATTGGTTATAGAATTGTCTCTGAATTCATAGCATAGTATTTACAATCTTGTAAAGCCACTAGTACGCGCAGCGGTTCGGGCAGGTCCTTAATCTAACAGATAATTTTAAGTAGATAAATTCTAGCAGAATTAATAAAATGATAACAGATACATTGCAAGAAAAAAAATGAGATGTAGTGTATAGAGATGTAGTAAAAAATGAAATGATATATATAAAGATGTAAAACTGCAGTAACACAAAATATGATCGATGGCTAAAGTGACTATAAGACAAAGTCTATAACATAGCAGAGTAAATACAGCAGTACAGTTAAGAGTAAATCTAGTGGCTAAACAGTGGCAACATTTATTAACAGACGCATAAAGCCAAGTAACCAGATAATTGGGGGGGGGGGCTAGAAATAGCCTAAGCTACTCTATCCCTTTGAGATGTATTTATTGCTTATCTCAATAAACATACTTGAACTTGAACTTGAACCAGATAATGCAAAAAGCTGCAGAACACCAATTATGCTTAATGGCTATAAGTAAAAGTACATGACAAATGATATAACATAGTTGAGGAGAAACAGTCAGTACATGTAAAGTAAATCTACCAAAGTAATAAACAGTGGAATAATTATTAAGAGTATGCATAGAGCCCAGTAACAAGATAATGCTATAACCAAGCTGGTGAGTTAATACAGTAAAGTGCGGCGAATGGTACATAGAGACTGCGAACTGCCTGCTGTTAAATAGCAGGAAAATAACAGACCATTAGGCCTAGCCGCCAAGGAGAAAGGATATACATGGGCCATATATATATATAGAGTAATTGTTAATATGCAATACAGTGCCTAATTGGCAATTAAAAATTTTCAAGATATAGCTGAAGAGCCTTGTTCTCTTAAGAAAATAAAGCGCAGCACAGCACTCAGGTTATATTATTTTAATATATGAAAATCATGAGATTTTTATACAAATTTCACCAAACCCTAAAAATAATTGCAAAAGTATATAATTTTTCTGAAATTTTATATGAAAATAAAATTAATTTTACTCACGAAGTACTTTTTTTAAATTTATTGTTTAAAATAATATGGGTTCATCTTTAACATTTTGTGTCAGTTCAAATATCAGTAACTATCCGTAAATCTACTCAGAAGGTGATTACTTCTTGTTGCTTCTTTGTGTGTATATCCATAGTTTCCATAGTTGTATATATACGGCATTTTATGTCATAGCTAAAGTATTTATACATACTAGTTGGTTAGTCAAAATGAATATACTTGTTATATATGTGACAATATAGTCGCCATTATACTGGGATAAAATGACTGTGTCTGGATGAGAGTGATATATGGGCGTAAAATCCCAGCCAAGCAGCAATAGAAGAGAAGTAAATATTGTGTCCATAATAAGGCTATAGAGAGGCAGACTTTCCTTCACCTGAAAATATTCTCCATCTTCACTCAATATAATTATTACATGAAAGAAAACTTAGCAGCGTATTCTATGGTAAACTATAGTGTGTGAACCAAAATACTCCTATGTATTTTGTTTTTTTAATTAATGCCTGAAACGTATACTACTGGCTTTAGGCATTGTACATTATTCCTATGAATCCTCTATTGTTCATGGAGCAGATGTGATATATATCAACCTGGTTGTTAAACAATTTGGCGGGTCGTATTCCAGGGAAAATTAGGATTATATAAGGACCTGCCCGAAACGCTATGCGTGCTAGTGGCTTTACAACCATGTAACAACTGAACAAAAACCATCTAATTATCGCAGGGGACTTTAACATTGACCTCTGGGAGCCTGATAACCCTCCGGCCGCTAGTTTTCTCAACTGTATGAATTCCTGCTTCCTCATACCTTTAATCACTAGACCAACTAGAATCACTGACAGTACTGCCACGACTCTTGATCACATCTGGACCAACATAACCTCTCCGCTTACTTCAGGGATAATCACCGATAGCACTACAGACCATTACCCCACATTTCTCCAAACTAACATTAACAAACCACCTCTAGAGACATGGGAGATAAGCTTTAGGCTGCACAATGAAACTGCTATAGACAATTTTATAACTGCTGCTGCTAATGTCAACTGGGAGTCCGAGTTAGGTAACATAGGGGACATTAACCTAGCAGTGCAATCTTTTCTTCAAAAAGCTCTCAGCCTTTATAACACCCACTGTCCTATGCTAACGAAGCAAGTCAAAACTAAAAGGCTTAACACTCCTTGGCTTACAAAGGGAATTCTTAAATCCATTAATAAAAAAACATGACCTCGAGAAGAAGTATAGGTCAGGATCGAATCGTCTCCAAAGAATTTTCAAGGAATTACTCATCATTGCTATCTAAAATAATTAGAAGAGCCAAAATTAAATACTACGAAGATAAATTTACCCAAACAAAGAGCAACATTAAGAAAACTTGGAGCACAATTTCACAAATATTGGGATCAAAGAAGATTTTAAATAACAAACCAACACTCCTGTCCAATAACAATGGTCTGCTTTCAGCCTCTGATACAGCTATGTATCAGAGGCTATGATACAGCATTACATCATTATAGAGTCAGAGGACACTCCCTACAATACCTCGAGTCCTACCTTACTGACAGGCTCCAATATGTTTCTGTGAATAATACAATTTCTCCCACCCTACCCATCAACATTGGTGTTCCTCAGGGCAGCATACTTGGCCCTCTCCTCTTTCTCATCTACATTAATGACCTTCCAAATGCCTCCCAACACCTCAAACCAATTCTATTTGCTGACGACACAACCTTCATTTACTCCAGTCCTGACCCTCTTGCTCTAAATGCCACAGTAAATACTGAGCTAAATAAAGTCCATCTTTGGCTAACTGCCAACAAACTCACCCTTAACATTGACAAAACCTTCTATATTCTGTTTGGCAATAAATCCTCTAGTCTTATAAATCTCAAAATAAACAATACCCAAATTTGTAACAAATTAGATGGCAAATTCCTTGGCATTCTCATTGACCACAAGCTGAATTTCCAGGGACACATTCTAAATATATCAAAAAAAGTTTCAAAAACTGTGGGCATTCTTTCTAAGATCAGATATTATGTACCACGCCCTGCTCTGGTGACTCTCTATTACTCCCTTATCTATCCTTATCTCAACTATGGTATTTGTGCTTGGGGTTCTACTACCCAAAATCACTTACGTCCTCTAATTACCCAACACAAAGCCGCTATTAGAACAATATCCAACTCTGGCCCCAGACATCACTCGGTACCCCTACTCAAATCTCTTAATATGTTAGATATTAAGTCACTGCACATTCTCTCATGTGTATTATACATATATAAAACGCTAAACTATAATGCCAATCCTGATCTTAAAAGCTTCATAGAAGGTTGTAACAGAACCCATGAGCACCACACCAGAAATAAATACAGTTTTGATATTCCTAGAGTACGTCTTAATCAAACTAGAAATGCTCTGCAAATCAAGGGGCCCAGAATGTGGAATGACCTTCCCAACCATGTTAAAGACTGTACCTCTCTCAACCAGTTTAAGATAAAAACTAAACACTACCTAATAAATTCCCTGTAATCTACCTCACTCCTCTATTGTCAACCCATGTCTGTTATTTTCTTTTTTTTTTCTTTTTTTTTAATCAACACTGTTTGTCAACCTATTGTATTTGTGCTGCTTTTTCAGTCATGTTCCCCCTTTTTTTTTTATCTTTATTTGTATTTGTTCTCAACATCTTTTATTCTTTATGCTCAATTAGTATTAAGTTCTAGATATTAATGTTTTTCTTGCCCGAAACGCATTGCGTAATAGTGGCTTTAGGCATTGTATGTACTAGCTCTATCTATATATCAATCCATTAATGTAACATCACTTGTATGTATATACCTTACCTGAATAAACATCTGAATCTGAATCTGAATCTGAATCTATTGAGTTCAATAGGTTCTTCTCTTCCATTGGGTCATCCCTTGCAAATTATATTCCATCTTCCAGTACTGATGTTAAGGACTATCTTACAGGTAACTATCCACAGTCTCTGTACCTAACGCCTGCAAATTCCACTGATGTTAATGAGATAATCCTTTCCCTTAAAACCAAGTCTAGCGCCCTCGAGGAGATACCAACTTTAATTTACAAAAAAACTCCAGATCTTTAGCTCATGTCATTGCTTTGCTCTTCAACAAGTCACTTGAACTCCAAACCTTTCCGGATATTCTACAAAAAAAAAGCGAGAGTAACCCCTGTCCACAAATGTGGTGATCTCACAGATGTTAACAACTACAGACCTATATCAATCCTGCCAAACTTGTCAAAAATAATTGAAAAACTAATCTACAAGCAGCTTTACTCTTATCTAGCCAAACACAATATACTTAGCTCTTGTCAATATGGCTTCAGACCCAAAAAAAGTACTAACGATGCACTTATTAGTATGATTAAATTAATACATGCAGCTCTTGATAAAAGTGAGTCCACAAATAACCCTGTTGGGTTATTTGTGGACCTGCGTAAGGCTTTTGACACTGTCAACCACCAAAACTTTCTTCTTAAATTACATCATTATGGCGTCAGAGGACACTCCCTGCAATACCTTAACAAGAATGTAAATTCAACTTAATTTCTATGTTCTCTGTTAACTCCCAATGTACCTTCTTGTATATAAATAAATAAATAATGATAAATAAATAAATAATAAATACAATTTATTGGACTTTATTCGATTTTTAAAAAATACTATTATTCATTTAATGATTCAAAAACTAAGCATATATGAGCTAAGAACGAGAGCGTACATAAATTTTATATACATTTGCTAGTATACTAGTAATGTATATATGTGTATAATGTGGATTAATATGGATAAATGAGGGGGAGGTCGTGGCCAGGTGCAGCATTCGGACAGTTGCTACTGACGAAGGTAAACAAAGCCTGGACACATCATGGCGTCTGTTTACCTGTGTCAGCTGGTCCTCTTGGTGTCCCGGCGCCCATAACTTGCACCCCATCACGGCCGCCCTGGCCACTAGATAGATGGTGGACCTCAGGTAAATTCAGGTAAGATGGGGTCTTCCTGGGGCATAAATGACCTTTGCATTTAAAAAGAGAGACTAAGTCGAGTTGCTCTGGAACTTAATAATAGTGAAATAATTCATTGTCAGGGGACAGGCAGCCAGTGTGTCGTTAATGACATGTTAGGATTATATACAAATCCCTCCCATCCCCCCCCCCCCACCCCAGGGTGGAACTACTGACCCTCCCCAGGTTGCAACCCCACAACAAGCTGACTAACTCCTGGGTACCTACTCACAGCTAGGTAAACAGATGCATTATTCAATTTCTTTCTTTATTATGCACCCCATACCCATCCCGTGGGCGGTGGTGTAAAGCATTACAGAGGCACATAATCGGTTCAGGAACTGAACCCTCTAGTTCGTTTAGCTAAGCGCATTAAGTGAAACGAAACACACCCAACCATTTATGACCCACCTGGGATTCAAATCTGGGAGTCTCGATTGTGCTTCGAGATTGAATCCGCCTCTACCACCGAGACCCCTCTTAACATTAATTATAATGCATTGTTATAAAATAATGAAAATTCTACAAACCTGTGTAACTAATGATTTTATTTAATATTTGGGTAAAATTTTCTAATGTTAATTATGTTAAACAATTAAATAAAAATTATAATACAACTGTATGAAATGAAAAAGAATTCAGGCCCTAAGCTGAAGCTTGTTTAGCTTCTGGCTAAATCCAGTCCTGGTGTCTACCATGTCTTGTTCTGTCTACTTATTTTATCTCGGTTACTATAAAGGACGCGGCAGTCATCTGTGTCTTTTATTCTTCTCGGTGGCGTGACATCATTCTGTAAGCATATTACTGTATATACCATATAATTCATATACCACTTTAATTTAAATTATTTTTAAATTAAATTATATAATTTGTGTTGTCGTGAAGACCGACAATATCCCCCCCCAGGTCAGGTCTTTCCCCTCTGGTATATCTTTTATGTAAATAATGAACATTAGTGATTGACAGGGACCTGATTAACCAGGCTGTGATTCATACGTCAGTCTGCAAGCAGGTGCGTGCGTCCAACAGCCTGGTTGACCAGTCCAGCAACAAGGAGGCCTGGTTGAGGACAGGGACGCTAAGCCCTGAAATCATCGCAAGGTAACCACAAGGTAGTGGCACTAGTACTGATCTTTGTGGAGTTCCAATAGTGAGATGACTCCAGTCCAATACATTGTCTATAATCACTGCTCTCATTTTTCTATCAACCTCTTAAGGAGGGGGACTATTAAATTCCTTTTTGGAATCTGAATAGATGCAGTTAATGCAAGCATTTCTTTACTCTATCATAAAACTGAGTAAATTTATTATGCAGGGCATTTCATTTTCAAAACCATACTGCATCTTTGATAATATGTTTTTTCTTTTAAGATATTTTTCCCATTAGGTTTTAATTACTCTAATGATTTGGTTACCACACATGTTAATGATACTGGTCTCCAGGTTAGAACCGTCTGATTACCACTGTTGCAGATTGGGACTCTTGTCTTTTTCCATATACTGTACCTGTTAGGTTCTCAGTTTGTAAGAATGTCTGCAAAATGATATGTAGTTGAAGATTGCGCATTTTCTTGGAACTTCCTGGTAAAACTCCATCTCATCTCACAGATGTGTTTCCTAAGAGGAAGCCTCAGTTGCTCACCAAGTCTTAGCCTAACACATCAGGTCTTTGAAATCCATCCATAGCCTAGCAGGAACCAGGATCAGCATTTGGCTTTTTCTGTGGAGAGCCCCTCCAGCTTCCCAGAGCTATACCGGGCTGATTTGCATATATTAGACCCTGGCATCACTCAAAGTGAATGGAGTTCTTTAGTCTACCGGAGACCATGAGCCAGAACCTGGCCCCCCTCAGAGAGGCACAAGGAGCCATGGCCTATAGAAACCCCCATGAGGTTGGAAGTATTCTATGTCTGCCATCTACTGGGTTAGGCACCCAGAAAGGTAGACCCAAAACAAACTACAGCTGGTTAAAAATTGCCCTAGCAATTTTCCCTGATTGAAACATCAACAGTTCTTCATTGTCATTCATTGTATGGGCTGCATATCAACTCTTCAGTCACTTTATTGTGATGCATCGTCTGCACCCACATTTTCTATGCATAGGTTGGGTAGGTTAGGTGGGTGGCTTAGGTTCGTGCATTTTAGTACCCCTTGTATGTTGTGGCAAAATGAGCTGGATTGTGATGTGTGTAATGCTACCTGATGGCAGCCTCTGACTATATTACCACGAGACCTTTCTTTTTATACCCTTTTTTTCCACCCTTTTTCAACTCATGCTGTGATCTCAATTAGTACTAAGTTTTAGTCTTCCTACTCCTTGCCCAAAACACTGTGCGTATTAGTGGCTTCAGGCATTGTATGTACTGTACTAACTCTATCTATTAATCCAACATTATGTTTGTAACTCATCATGTATGTACATATGTACTTTTACCTGAATAAACATTTGATTTGATTTGATTTGAAGAGTTCTAGTCAGTTTCTTACAGCCTGTCAAGCAACTCGACTGTTGGTGTGAACACTTCATGTGCACTTGACGAGGGCTTGGTAAAGCTTTGAGATTTTGTAGGTTGATTTTTCTGGAGGTCATTTCAAGGTGTTTCTCCAGTGTTGCCTAATACCCTATACCTGTATGGTTCTAGAGCTGGGTTGTAGTGCCAGTGTGGGAATGTCGCCCTTCCTGGCCAACACCCAAATCTTGGGCCTTCCTTAGGGAGCAAAGAGTGGAGTACTTTGGAGAATATTGTTTACTGTAGAATAGCATTGATATGGTTGGTAGGTGGGCATATTTTGCTTGAAATCTTTGTCACGTGTGCATAATTTTAACTTTAAAGGAATAATTTTAATGTTGTTCACTAGAACAACATTGGCTCGCTAGAACTTTGAATTGTAAGTTTCAGGGTCCCTGAACATTTAGGGTTGGTATAGAAAAAACTTTAATTTTTATTTTTTGCCTCGTATAATGAATTATTATTTAATTATAATTCCAATCGATTTGTGTCTGACAGGTAGGATCACCCAGTCCCACAGCTCAGCCACCAAGAACGATTACGAACACTACTGCTGCCCAATGATGATGGTGAGTACATTTTCCACACTGTGGGTGCTACCAAATAATGATGAAGATGCCTACCTATCAATGACTACAGAGGAGTGAGATTTAATTCTTTATGCCCCGCCTCCTGGCTCTTTGTACCGGACATGCTAATTACCTCTCTCAACATTAACCCCTGCACTGCACAAACCACCGTAAGTCTGTTGATGGGAGGTGCGCCAACCACCGGATGGCATTCATTTGTATATTATAAGATTCAGAACTCGCATGCAGTAACCTGGGTAGCAAATGGAGTCCTGAGGCCTCCAGTTAGCATCTGTCCTCTTGAGAAACATTCCCAGCATGCCCCACAGGAGTGGGTAGGCTCAGTTTCAAGTGAGTTACCATGGCTGGCAAATGTGCTTCCAGCTCCCGGTCTCAGATGGGTCATGTGGTTGAAAAATCACTCCCGGAGGATGAAATGCATGAAGAATATATAGTATTTGAGAGGATCCTGATAGTGATGTTTATAGCCCAAAACCCGATAAAGAACTAACATAAATGATCAGATATGGGTGATACAGACATTGATAAGGACGATACAGTGAACATGTACAGTATGCAGATCTCGCCACTCAAGAAATAGTTTTTTTTCACCTTGTGGATGTAACAGTGCTGAAAAGTTTCAACATGTATTTGGTGAAATCAGGCAAGAAACACAAATTCATACTTAGTCTTTCTCTGTTGTCACAATTACTGTACTTGTAAAGTTTTGGCCAGAAACGGTAGTGTTTTAATGAGGTTTTGTGCCGACAATGCCTCCTGCTGCTTCCGACAGATTGGCTTGCAAAGTCTACCTTGCAATATGCAAGCTTGGTTACATGCCAGGTATGGGAATATATGCAAAAAGGTAAATGTGTGTGTTGTTTGCAAGCACACTTAACAAAGAGAGAAAAAGAAAAAGTTGCTCTCTTTGCATAAAATGCAAAGTTACCTTGTGTGCCATTGACTGCTTCAGTAATTATCACACCCTTGTGAAGTTCTGATTTTTTTTTTTACATTATATATAGTGTGTGACAGTGTAAAATAAGTATATAAATTGAGAATTGAACAAGTAATATTGTTCAATAAACATATTTAGTGTACACATTAGTGACACATGTATCATAATTACTTGGAACATTATGCTCATTGTACTGTGTACAAATTGTAAATAATATCAATGTGCATAAGATGACAAAAAAGAGAGAGAGAATAGAAAAAAACAATTTGTGGCAACTCGCTGCTCTTGAATCACCCGCGTGACTGGCTTCGGGAGTTTCTAGCACGAGCACTCGGGGCATCTGTGACTCACATCACAACTGATTTCAGCATTATAAGAAGAAAAAATTTTGTGGAATAAATTTTGTTTTTTTTACGTGCACCAAGGGGTTGTCATATTAAACTAACACACAATATATGGGTTATTGTTTTCAGTCATATTTTTCTAAACGTTGTGGATGAAATTGCCTTAAACAACCTCATCCTTCATTGTACTACCCTTGCCATCCACCTGTAGAGGGAACGAATACTGTATTTCATTACATCTCTTAAGACTCGAGTGAGTGTCCAGCTATTTATCACATGGTGCCCGTGCAACACACAACTGAATTTGGCTCCGAGACCAGATTCCTGCCACCGTATACTGTAATTACAGTACAAGTGAAAATCGTATTCCAACAAGCACTCTTTGTACTAGGGTATGGCTGTCCTTCTGCAGCGACGAATGGCAAGGTACAGTATTGCCATTCCAAGTGGAATATGAAAATAAATATTACATTACCACCTGTACTAAGAACAGGTGATAGCAGGGCTGACTGTCCACAGGTGATAACTGGATTGATACTGTCCACAGGTGATAACTGGATTGATACTGTCCACAGGTGATAACTGGATTGATACTGTCCACAGGTGATAACTGGATAGATACTGTCCACAGGTGATAACTGGATTGATACTGTCCACAGGTGATAACTGGATAGATACTGTCCACAGGTGATAACTGGATTGATACTGTCCACAGGTGATAACTGGATTGATACTGTCCACAGGTGATAACTGGATAGATACTGTCCACAGGTGATAACTGGATTGATACTGTCCACAGGTGATAACTGGATTGATACTGTCCACAGGTGATAACTGGATTGATACTGTCCACAGGTGATAACTGGATTGCTACTGTCCATAGATGATAATTGGATTGCTACTGTCCACAGGTGATAATGGGGGGGGGGACCAAACTGACCACAGGTGATTATAGGGCTGACAGTGAACACTGTCCATAGGTGACATTTTCTACAGGTGATAAGGGGAATGACAAAGTTTACAAGCAATAATGGGGCTGACAAATTTCTACGGGTAATAATGGGGGCTGGCACTGTTCACAGGTTGAGGACCTCCGTAGGATGGGTGAACCCATCAAGAGGCTGGTAGAGGATGGCCAGGTGTTCGCTGTCCAACAAGATGAAGATGGTCAGCGTGTCGCCAGGATAACTTTGCAAGATGAGCAGCTGTGCCTCCACCCACTCCTGCGTCAGCCCCTGCCTGTCCACGCCCACACCCTCCAGGTTACTTTATAAGACTTTACCAGTCTCACTGACTTATCTCTGGAATGTATTTTATGAATTATTGAAGACAACTATTAATTTAAATAATATAGTATTATTGCAGATGACGAGTCACAATAAGGTAGCCGAAGAAATGATGACCTAACTACGACTCAGAAGATGGAGAAGCGACGACGTTTCGATCCATCTTCGACCATTATCAAATGGTCCAGGATGGACCGAAATGTTGTCGCTTCTACATCTTCTGAGTTGTGGTTTGGTCATCGTAATATTATTCAGTTATCAGAATTATTAATTTCATTTTCTTCAGCACAGTGATGTTGTGAATATGCTGGACCCTTCCTCCACCCTGGCGTTTCTTGATTTTGGGTGGGCGGGGTCGACAAGAGGGCGGGTCACCATCCAGCTAGCCCCTGATACACTGCTCTCTAGACAGTTTGTGTTGCTGTGTACGGGGCAGCAGGGCCCTAGCTACCACAACACTAGACTGTTCCGAGTATCACGCAAGAGTCGGCCGGGGGAGTGGGTGGAAGGCGGAGACTACGAGAGCAATGATGGTCTAGGAGGAGCCCCACTGCTACCTGATCTAAAGGGAGAGTCCCGGGGCTCAGCCAGGGCAGGGGATGTGTGGTCGCGGTGGCTGGATCACCGCAGTGCCCAATTTGCCATCACTTTGAGGGACCATCCAGGGCGTTGGTCACGGGTCTTCGGTGAGGTGGTGAGCGGCCTGGATGTGGTGCGGGCATCAGTCAACCATAGTGACATCAAAGAGGTGACTGTGGTGGACTGTGGTGTTGTGCTGCCACTCTAGTTCACTATACCTCCATCACTCCTGTGGTGGAATATGGTGTTGTGTTTCACTGCACCACCACTACCAGGGTTGTCGAGAGCTCTGACACCCCCGTGTATTGGTGTTTTATATATTGTACACTTTTAACCTACAAATTCACCATTGTAACATCAAATAGATGTACTTATGTATAAATAAAATTATATAATAAGTGGGCCCTCTCACTTCTCTTTAAACCCAAGCACAGATGCAAGATCTAATGTATATATATATATGACCTACCTGTATTGCAAATGGCTAACTTCTTTTTCTGAGAGCTATTTACAAATCAAGTAACTTGAGCAGCCAGTATGGAAATAGAATGAAATTAGAGTAGTGCACATTAAACTTAATAAACTTTGCAAACATTTCATATGATTGACAAATAGGAGTTCAAATCACACTCCGACTTTCTTGCCTTGTAATACTGTAGCTCTTCTCATCCTTCGTGAAGCTATGTAGTGCCAGACAACACTACCTTGTGATAATTATTTCAGACAGATTTTTTTCTTAAAAACTTGAATCTTATTATTATGAGGAATATTATCAGAGAAAAGATTGGAGTGGGTGGAAGGTTGAGGACGAGGGATAAGACCTATGTTTATTGTTTTGAATAAGATGATACGTGTTATAGTGTCGAGGTACAGCGGTCTGTTCTCATATTTACAAAACATTGCATTTTAGTGGAATTTACTAAATGTGCTGCACTAGTAAAATTGAAGAACTATAATTAGGATTTTTTTTGCATCAGCCCCCATTTAAGGGTACTGCCTTGATGTAGTGATTGGGGCTCCTTCTCCACTCCTTCCTGCCACGTCGAAGTGAATTACACTTCGGCACGTTCGCTGTGCACGGAGATCGATATATTCCCCATTTTTCCTTCATCTGCTCGTTGAGCTTACATACCAGCTACAGCCCCCTGCGGGGCAATACACTTCCTTAGTGGAGGGGACAGGGAGTAAAACTGGAAGTCCAGTGTGGCATACCTGAATGAATTGGCTCATCTAATTAGCCTACCTGGTTAGACATTGGGTCAAGTGGGCATTGCAGGGTTAGTATCCCTATCAGTCCTTAGGTTAAAATTCAGACCCTTCAATGGTGACCCACATATACTGGCCCGAAATGCTATGCATGCTAGTGGCTGTATGAGACCGTAAGAACTCTTGTACAGTATATATAAATAAATAAAAATACTGACCTTGTTACCCCCCTGAGATTGCCCAAGTGCTTGCATCTCCCCATACTGGGCTCTGTGATGGGGAGGGGGGGGGGGGGGGAAGAGTATTGAAGTCCAATTCAGTTTCTGTACATTAATGTTGTAATCCTTAACACATCTCTCCTTAGATTTTGTAGGGTGGGCCACCATGGCCCCTGTGTGACCACTGCTCTTGTGGAGGCTCCTGTTCTCTAGAACCACCTCATTTTTCCTGTAAGGAGGTTATCTTGAGATGATTTCGGGGCTTAGCGTACTCGTGGCCCGGTCCTCAGCCAGGCCTCCTTTTTGTTACCCCTCCCCCCCCCCCAGGAAGCAGCCTGTAGCAGCTGTCTAGCTCCCAGGTACTTATTTACTGCTAGGTGAACAGGTGCATCAGAGTGAAAGAAACTCAGCCCATTTGTTTCCGCCTCCACCGGGGATCAAACCCGGAACCTTAGGACTGCGAATCCAGAGTGTTGTCCACTCAGTCGTCAGGCCCCTTACCTGGTCTGAGGATGGCAGTCTGAGGATGGCACAGTTGCAAGATTCTCATTCTGTTCACATATGTAATATCTCCTCCCTCATGTTGCTCCTTCCTTGCTCCCATGGGAGGTCCCATTTGTAAAATTTTGCTCGGCCTTGACCCACAGTGAAACCCTCCTACTGCAATAATACCCCCTTTTCCTTGAACATTTTCCTCTCGCTCACACTCAATTGCACTGTTCACAGATGGATCCAAGTCTGCTGGCAACATGCTAGCTACACTGTTGCTATTCTCAGTCAAGCATGTATACTGTATGCTGCCTGCCACCCAGAGACTAGCATCTTCACACTGCAGCTATCTATCTTTGTCAGCTACTTTTTGACGTCAGTGTTGCTTTGTCATTGTGGTCAGCTCTCACAGTGAAGAAAAAGTGGAATTTTGCTGGGTTGCCAGCCATACTAGTTATCTTCAATGAACTTGTGGATACATATGCTTTGGAGGCTATTCATGCTTATCTCATTTCTCAGCAAGGGGTATTATGCCTTATTCGGATTTCTACCATCATTCATTCCACAATCTGCACCAGTGGTCTGGCAATAGCAAACAGCTGTGCACTCTAGGTCATCCTCTCACCACTGTAATCCATGATAGGAAAATGCCCTGGCTAGGTTGCACATCAGTCACGTATGTCTTGACCTGTGGAAACTTAATAAAGAGAAGGGTGGCATTCCATTGTCTAAACTGCATTATCTACTTCCAGTCGTGCTCCTCCTTGTAAGATGTTCCAGTTTTCAGTGATCGTACATCTTGCTTTCATAATGTCCCTCTAAGACATTTGTCTCTCAATGAATCCTTGGTGAACCCAATACCTTTGCTGTCATTCGCCTTATGTTCCTTTCTCGTATTGGTATCCCGAGTGATATTAAACACCTTTTGAATATCCTGCAACAGATGGGGTTTGGTGCCTTCTTTTGATAATTACAATATTTATACAATGTGTTGAAACTGTCTAATTGAGATTACTTTTATTACAAAGGATTCTTGCACAAGATCCTCATTATTTGTTCAGTGGCAAAGCAGTTTGTTATCTTTTTCATTACCTGGTATAGTGTTAATTCTTATTTTCCACTGCCTATAGTTATCACTACATACAACACAAGTCTCACCTTCAGCTTCTGCTCCAAGATACCCTTAAAATGCCAGCAGTTGTATTTTGAGCTATATCTTCCACTCTTCTGTCACTCAAAATCAATAATGCTCATATTTACATTCCTACCCATTTATTATGCTCAATTCCATTCATCATACTTTCAAAGAATTCTATTAGCAACTGTCTGAGAATAAGTTACATTTCATGACTGAAATTTCTTCTACAAAAATACAAAACTGCTGTAATACAGTATAAAGTTTTATTGATACAATAAAACATACAAAAAACTAGGCTTACTTAAAAATCATCTATATTGTACTTTTGTTTTTAGAATGAGCATGGATGGACTTCACATAAACTTCACATGCTTTTCTGATGTGACAGACAAACTCAGATGCTCGCTTAAAATTGGGGTCACTGTCAGCAATTTCAATGCAAGAGTTCATATAGTTCACAAACTGACTCATTGATGATGAAGGCATCTGTGAATTTGAAGTAGCTTCACCACCATCATCCTGTGCTTCATCGGACTCTTCGGCAGTCAGCTCGAGGACGTCTTCTGGAGTCATAATGTTGCGGTGACTCTCCAGATATTCCACGATGTCCTCAACCACCAGGTCGCCAAACCCTTCCCCAGGAATGCCGTTGGCAATCTCCACAATGCTGCGTACCTCTACCTGCGTGTTGGGAAAACCATGGAACTGAGACATGATTCCAGGCCATAGGTTCTCCCATGCTTCATTAAGACGGGAGGAGGTGATCTTCTCCCAGGAGTCAATAATAATCGAGATGGCATTTCTGATGTTAAATGTTTTCCAGAAATCAATCACAGCTTCTTTACCCTTGCCCTCTCCTTCAGAGTTGAGGAACATCTCCCAGAGAACCTGCTTAGTATACAGTGTCTTGATTTGAAACATTAATCCTTGGTTGAGCGGCTGCAGCAGAGCACTGGTGTTAGGTGGAAAAAACTCAAGGCGGTAGCCATCACTGTCAGTGATGTCATTAAGAGTTTGTGGATGGCTGGAGGCATTATCAACAAACAAGATGGCTTTGCTTGGTAGGTTTTTCAACCTCAAATACTTGTCCACAGCCGGAATGAAATTATGTTGGTACCAATCGGCAAAGATTGTGGACGTCATCTGAGCCTTGCCGTTAGCTCGCCACACCACCGGCAGACGGGTGACATTCTTGAGCGCAGGAGGATGGTACGACCGGTACACCAGCACAGGTGGCAGCTTGAAGTCTCCAGCTGCATTGCAACAGAAGAGCAAAGTCAGACAGTCTTTTGAGGCTTTGAAACCTAAAACAGCCTTTTCCTCCTTCATCAGAAAGGTTTTGTGGGGAAGACACTTCCAGAGAAGACTTGTCTCATCTGCATTGAACACCTGTTGACATATTGGGTTAAATTAGAAAAAAAAAAAAGTGAATATGTATAAAATTGTTTATATAAAATACCAGGTTTACTGACCTTGTCTCTCAATATAAACAATAGTCTCATTAACCCTTAGACCGCTCATATTAACGCGAATTAAGGGGGCATAACATCGAAAAATATTTGAATTATGCAAAAATAACTAAAATGTTAAACAAATCTCCAACTTATCGGCTTCAGTGTCGTGAAACTCATATAAAAATATTTTCAGAAATTGATTTTAGACGAATTTTTGAAAAAAAGAATGTTTTATTGATAAGAAGAACAGCTCCTAATAACTAACTGAAGGATTATGCAGTAATAGAGATGCAAGCACTTGTCCTATGTTCAAAGAAGAATAATAATAGTAGTAAGTAGTGTCCACAAAGTAGATATGCAGCTGGTGCCTTTATATTATTGCTGAGTAATTCATAATAACAAAACATAATGGATAACTATGTTAATATGATCTATTTTGTTATATATCATATAAATACATTGTCCAATGTTAATTTATGATACTTTCATCATTGTCCCCAAAAATATTTTTTTTAGGGGAATTTTTTTTTTAAAGATTTTAGTTATTTATTTCTCCTTTGTTTATTATCTGATTTTGTTGTAACCTTTACATCCTGGAGAATGTATATGTTTTCATAACTATGTGAAGATAGACTGAAATTGGTCAACAAACAAGTCAGTCACAACTAGAAAAACTTTGGGTTAATATTGTTATAAACAAGAATTCCGCCCCATTGTGTACATATATTGGGAATTTGTTTTGGCTGATTTTTTCTCTGATTTCAAACTCTATTTTCTTTGTCTCTTTAGGTTGTTTTGATGATTAGGGACCATATTAGGGCTTTTTCACTTATATAAAGGATACCCCTAAATATATCCCCTAGATCATTATAATATTATAATTACTGTATCCCTATATTTTGTGTTTTTTGGGGGTTATTTTTTCTTGACATCATTTCAACACATATTGACCTACAACTTTCACATATTCGAGTATGAATGCCAAACAATGTTTATTAAAACCTACAATTAAATTAACGAATTAAAACTACCTTTATTCATTGTTGATAACTTCAACTTCAATTATCTCTGAAACCAGAGTTTCAACTTTGAGTGGCTTCTAAAATTCCAGTTATTAACCAATTCTCACTATTGGGATATATTGTGTGCCCTGTTGTCTGTTCTACAATCCCTTCAGAATGAATTTTTCATAAACTTTATACATTTGGAGTTATAATTTTTTTTGGTCTAAATTTGCCGCATATTTCAAATGTCTTATTGACGATTTTTTTTACAGTAAACTATACTAAAAACCTATATTCTAATTTAATGAAAATGAAGATCATATGCTAATCTGAGAGAATAACAACATTAAATGAACAATTAATAATAGTTCATATTTTTTATTCTGAATTGAAAATCTAAAGTTTTCAATATTCAATTTTAAGATTAATTTTGATTCTCTGGTTTTTCAAGTTTCACTGTGATCGTTTGGACAAAGTTGGAACATTTGCCTAGTTGATTATGCAAAAAAAATTGGGAAGTGTTTGTGCAAGTTTCAAAAACTTATCGTAAATTATTTTTTGTCAAATCATATTTTGGTATTGCGCGGTCTAAGGGTTAAATTAATTAATATTGTTATAAACAAGAATTCCACCCCATTGTGTACATATATTGGGAAAGGTTTTTGGAATGTGTAAGAATACATTCATTTTGTATTATAATAGCCTAGTAGCCTTGTTTACTGAGGAATGCCTTTAAAACCTACATAATCAGCCTGAACAAATTAGCAGAGTACATTTATGATTACAAATGCCACTTTTAGTGTTTACAAACCTGCTCTGGCAAATAGCCGCCATCCTTGATTATCCTTGCAAACTTAGCAGGATATGGCGATGCTGCAGTATAGTCAACACTGGTACATTCCTGTGTCACAGTACGTAGCCTCTGAAGTATTTTAAAGTGATTCAGGCAACCAGATGAAGCCAAAAATGATGTGCCAGAAGAGGTATCGTCCTCCTGCTCATCATCTTCCTGTATCTGAGTGGCCTTTTCCCGGATCACGGTATTATCAATGGGGATGCTTTTCTTGCGATTATCTTTTGAACTGAGGTAGAGGGCATTCTCCATCTTTGTGAAACATACATCCTCGAGTGATTTTGTATCACCAGAGAGGTTTGTCTTAGTTATTGGGTTATTCATCAATTCTTCCTGTTTCTTGACAGTGTGAATGGTGGACTCATTGGCCTTCAGGAGGGAAGCAATAGGGAAATTACTCTCCGATTTCTTGATATGTTCGCTAAACAATAAGTCAGACACTCTTGGGGGTGTAGCTTTCTTTGTCTTTTGATGTCCTGTACGTGATGGAGTAGTTCTTACCTCTGCAACCAGATGCCCACGAGCCTGAAAATGTATTCATTCTCACTTTGTTTTGTTGGGGAAAAAAATAAATTATAATATTATATATATATATATATATATATATATATATATATATATATATATATATATATATATACTTTGAAATGATCCTAGAAAAATGGGCAATAGTATGGAATACCTTATTGAGAAAAACGAGCTTATAATGGATGACGTCATTGTACATTAGGCTTGACAGAAGGCGGCCTTTTAATCCCCCTTTACTATAAATATTGAAAATGGGAATAATTACACTATAACAGAAAACGGACTTATTCAGGGAAGATGAAGACTGGCTAGCTGATGACGTCATTGACCGATGCCTGTGCATGGGTCACTGGGGTAACGAAAAACATGTGTGACTACGAGGGACCTTTTAATCCCCTTGAAACAAAATGGCTGGGGCCTAGGAGCGAACCTTTTAATATAACAGTTGGAAAATTCTATATGACATTCGGGAGGGACAATAAAATGAATAAAATATTAGGAGACTATGAGGGACCGTTGGGTAAAATATGGAAAAAAAACCATGGCCCTACGAAGGACCGTTGATAAAAAACTTTGACTCGTTCGCCGGGGTAACGAAATGGACTAGGCGCAGTATATATATATATATATATATATATATATATATATATGTCGTACCTAGTAGCCAGAACGCACTTCTCAGCCTAATATGCAAGGCCCGATTTGCCTAATAAGCCAAGTTTTCATGAATTAATTGTTTTTCGACTACCTAACCTACCTAACCTAACTTTTTCGGCTACCTAACCTAACCTAACCTATAAAGATAGGTTAGGTTAGGTTAGGTAGGGTTGGTTAGGTTCGGTCATATATCTACGTAAATTTTAACTCCAATGAAAAAAAATTGACCTCATACATAACGAAATGGGTAGCTTTATCATTTCATAAGAAAAAAATTTGAGAAAAAATATTAATTCAGGAAAACTTGGCTTATTACGCAAATCAGGCCTTGCATAGTAGGCTGAGAAGTGCGTTCTGGCTACTAGGTACGACATATATATATATATATATATATATATATATATATATATATATATATATATATATATAATATATATATATATATATATATATATATATATACACATACATACACATACACATACATATATACACACACACACATATAGGCATATAGGGGTACCACCTCTGGTGCAATTGCAGGGACCTACATCCTCAAAGAAGAAAACAAAGAGCTTTCAGCGAAGATCTTGTGGATTCTCACTGAACACTTTAATCTTTTCTTCTCCTACCACCCCTATTATTTTTTTGTATGTTTTGTTTTGTTTTCTTTTCTTTTATTTTATTGCAATGCTACAGTTTACAGAGAATACACACATACAGTATATGTAACAATATAACAGTCAGCGTTCGAAGACCTCGTCCAGCTCTCGGAGGTTGGGTGCGTACCCAGGATACAGCACGCATTTCCCCTCTGAACTGTGACACTGAGGCGCTGGAACAGGAAACTGGCCGCTCGTGGGTCTCTAGTTTTTGCAATGAGTTCTTCACCCACCTTCTTTAGGAACTTAAGTGCACATTTACCCCAGGCGCCCAGAGTCTCAGAGCCTATCGGCACGAACCTGTAACAACATTCTAAGTCTCTGTACTTGTTGATTTTCTGGGTCTCCCTGAAGGTGGCCGCCCCGCCTCCCTCCGTTGAGCTGTAACGTAGATAGGTATCAGCCAATGTGGAAGCACATGTGTAATCCCATACGACCTGTTTACCTTCCCTCCATGGCTGCTGGGTGACTCCATCTGGACATTTTTGGCTGTTATCAGGTCTGCACAACTGAGGTTCCCTTTGTGCTGGACACCCAGCTGCAGCCAAACTTCTCTTGATGATGTCAATGACTGCTTCATGTCTGGTAATCTTTCCCTGTGTCTTACGACAGATGAGACCATGGCTGCCATATTGGTCTGCCCGTGCATGGCCGCAAACACACCGGTGCTTGGTGGAGATAGGGGCGGCAAGGCGCAGGGCAACACCAATACTTAGGGCCCGATGGTCCAGGTGGGTGCCCAAGGCGGAATTAGGGACTGCCAACAGGAAGTCCCCGGCATGGGGGCTTGCACAGCTAAGAGACGCGCTCTGTCCTTCTCTGAAGCTGCCTCCAGCAATGCTTTGGCGATGTTTTCCACTATGGGGCTATCCCACTTGGCCTGTTTGCCATCGTTTGGAAAAGTTGGTCGAGTGTGTGAATTAGCAAGAGTGTCCCACTGACCAGCTCCTTCCACAAATTTGGGATCACAAATCCCAGTGGAGTTCCTTAGGTATTCTGGTAGTATTTCATTCACTAATTCACTTGTAACACTGGTCGAGGATAAGAATGCCGGCAATGCTAAATGTGTTGCCTTGCGAATACCTATACCCCCGAGTCTATCTGGGAGCGTTGCTTGGTCCCACTGGTCATCTTGCAGGGAAAGGTTTAACACTTTCATAGTTATTGACTTCAGGAGTGAGTCGTATTCCGTTAATAGGTAAGTCTGGGCAAAGCCAGGCTCCTTGTAAGAAGGTACAAAGCATCGTGAGCATTCAAAGCCCCTATTCTTTCTTCCATCCTCCTCAGGTCTTTCAGCTTTTCTTCGAGGACTGCCTCAATGGCATTCGAGCCCAGAGGTGCCCCTAGCAACACACTGTTGGTGGGAGCGATCACTGGGACTCCTGGCAATAAGATTTGTACTGCATCTATGATTTGTTGGCTGGATGAGATGATTACACACTTTGATGGGTTTAGTGTAAGGCCTAGTTCCTCTCCCTTCGATTTCACTAACTGAAGATCTCCTAGAAGGAATTCCTGTGTCCCTGCCAGGGTGCCATCGTCCAGGAACCAGATGTTGAGTTCGCTGGTCAACCTGCTTGTGACCTCATTAGCTGCCATGCAGAAAAGGAAAGGGGGCAAGTGGGTCTTCCTGCTGGACACCTTCTGCAGAAACAACTTCATGTTCCCCAAGCAACAGTGTCGATTCCCTACTGTACCCTGCTGAAATGAAGGGAAGTAGAGAAGGAAACCTTGTTCGAACTGCTTCCAGTACCACATCCCTTTTTACCTGGTTTAAGGCATTTGTAAAATCTAATTTAATTAATGCCTTATTTTCTGAGAAGTGCTTAATATAGGCTCGCGCTGCATGAGCTGCTGCTTCACAGCCATGGGGGACACCAAAACCTAGTTGATGGGGTTGATAAAATATATATATATATATATATATATATATATATATATATATATATATATATATATATATATATATATATATATATATATATATATATATATATATATATGAATGAAAACTCACACCCCAGAAGTGACTCGAACCCATACTCCCAGAAGCAACGCAACTGGTAACTACAGGGCGCCTTAATCCGCTTGACCATCACGGCCGTCAAAAGGAAGTGATAGCCGAGGCTATTCGCATATAGTCCTGGGGACCATTCAGGCTTGTTCGCATATATATATATATATATATATATATATATATATATATATATATATATATATATATATATATATATATATATATATACAGGCATACCTCAGTTTAAGAGTTTAATTGGTTCCTGGAGACGCCTCGTATTCCGAAAACTCGCATTCCGAAGCTAATTTCCCCATAAGAAATAAAGGGAAATGAATTAATCCGTCCCTGACTACCCCAAAAACCCCACATCAAACTAAATTTTTATACCTAATTCATCTAAATTAACCTACAAAACTATGTTCAAGTTATTACTTACCTTGCTGTTGAATGCTGTAGGCGTATGGAAGATGGTGAGGAGGTGGGAGGAAGAGAGGAGTTACTGTTTGGAAGGGGAGTCCCCTTCCATTATCACATCAGGCAGTGAGGACTTCACTGGTATGCACACTCTGGCACATTTTGCCTGCATAACACTAGGACTTGCTTGTTTTACTAAGAATTTGTCTAATGACACTTGTTTTTCCCTACGTTTTAACACTTGTCTGTAGTAAGACATCACATTATCATTTAAAAGGTCAATGCAACGGCCTGCTACAGCTTTATCTGGGTAAGTTTTTTCAACAAAACTTTGCAGTTCTTCCCATACTTCACACATTTTCTTAATCAAGAAGGGACATCCTCTACTGCCTCTACTCACAGCTATTTTCTTCGGTTGAACCTTACCAATGGCTTTCTTGAGACCCATGGCAAGATATATAATGACAACTTTTATGCTCAAATGGCCAAAAAAACGATAAAAAACTGTAAATCCTTGTGAAGAATTCAGGTGGGATAGTCACTGGACACGAGACACTGGTAAACTGAGGCGCGATCGCCATGCCACCACGCGCCAGTTGGCCTGTACACGTATCAACAAAACTCGCGTTCCGAGGTAACCCTCGCCTTCCGAGACATATTTTCCGAGGAAATCCTGCTCGTCTTCCGAAAAACTCGCATACAGGGACACTCGCATTCCGAGGTACCACTGTATATATATGTATATGTATATGTATATGTATGTATGTATATATATATATATATATATATATATATATATATATATATATATATATATATATATATATATATATATATATATATTATTAAATATGACCGAAAAAGTAAGATTAATAATTCTAACACGAATTTTCTCAATCTTTCGTACATTACGCTTCACTGTTGGAGGTAAATCAAAAATCACTTCTCCAAAATTCATTTTTATTTCTAGTCTGACGCGACACGGGCGCGTTTCGTAAAACTTATTACATTTTCAAAGACTTCACAAATACACAACTGATTAGAACTTGCGTTTCTCTGATTTTATATCTACATTTGAGTGAGGTGGGAAGGGTGATGTGGCATTAACACAAGACAGAACAATAGGGGATATTAATAGGGTATTAAAAGTATCAACACAAGACAGAACAGAAACAATGGGTATTGAATAGAAGTGTTTGTAGAAAGCCTATTGGTCCATATTTCTTGATGCTTCTATATTGGAGCGGAGTCTTGAGGTGGGTAGAATATAGTTGTGCAATAATTGGCTGTTGATTGCTGGTGTTGACTTCTTGATGTGTAGTGCCTCGCAAACGTCAAGCCGCCTGCTATCGCTGTATCTATCGATGATTTCTGTGTTGTTTACTAGGATTTCTCTGGCGATGGTTTGGTTATGGGAAGAGATTATATGTTCCTTAATGGAGCCCTGTTGCTTATGCATCGTTAAACGCCTAGAAAGAGATGTTGTTGTCTTGCCTATATACTGGGTTTTTTGGAGCTTACAGTCCCCAAGTGGGCATTTGAAGGCATAGACGACGTTAGTCTCTTTTAAAGCGTTCTGTTTTGTGTCTGGAGAGTTTCTCATGAGTAGGCTGGCCGTTTTTCTGGTTTTATAGTAAATCGTCAGTTGTATCCTCTGATTTTTGTCTGTAGGGATAACGTTTCTATTAACAATATCTTTCAGGACCCTTTCCTCCGTTTTATGAGCTGTGGAAAAGAAGTTCCTGTAAAATAGTCTAATAGGGGGTATAGGTGTTGTGTTAGTTGTCTCTTCGGAGGTTGCATGGCTTTTCACTTTCCTTCTTATGATGTCTTCGATGAAACCATTGGAGAAGCCGTTATTGACTAGGACCTGCCTTACCCTACAGAGTTCTACGTCGACTTGCTTCCATTCTGAGCTGTGGCTGAGAGCACGGTCGACGTATGCGTTAACAACACTCCTCTTGTACCTGTCAGGGCAGTCGCTGTTGGCATTTAGGCACATTCCTATGTTTGTTTCCTTAGTGTAGACTGCAGTGTGGAAACCTCCGCCCTTTTCCATGACTGTTACATCTAGAAAAGGCAGCTTCCCATCCTTCTCCGTCTCGTAAGTGAAACGCAGCACGGAACTCTGCTCAAATGCCTCCTTCAGCTCCTGCAGATGTCTGACATCAGGTACCTGTGTAAAAATGTCGTCAACGTACCTGCAGTATATGGCCGGTTTCGACCGGCCAAGTTTCAAGTTCGACATGAACTTGAAACCGGCCATATACTGCAGGTATGTTGACGACATACATACATACATACATACATACATATATATATATATATATATATATATATATATATATATATATATATATATATATATATATATATATATATATATATATATATATATATATATATATATAGACACAGACACACAGTACGTACATGTATGTGCGAACAAGCCTGAACGGTCTCCAGGCATATATGCAACTGAAAACTCACACCCCAGAAGTGACTCGAACCTATGCCCAAGATTACCATCAGAGTGCCGGCACCATTCCTTTTCCCTCCCTGTCCCAAATCCTTATCCTTACCCCTTCCAAGAGCTATATAGTCGCAATGGCTTGGCATTTTCCCCTGAAAAGTCCCTTCCGTTCCCTTCACACAACTCGTAACAAAGTACTATAATGCATACATAAGAACGGGGATTTCTGCTTGAACATGGGTGATGGCTCCTGCAAGCAAGGTCAAAGAGCCACATATCGCTCCATACTGACACACACACAATCAAGGAAGACAGTAAAGTATCACTTAAAACATGGCAACTCACCTGGCAAGAGCTGTTCTGTTTGCCCAGCAACAAGTTCATAGTGTTCATGGCAATGGAAGTCAAATGGTTGGTGCTGGAAACAGCTGGTGGGTCTTTTGTGTTGAAAACAAGTGGTGGGTCTTTTGTGTTAGTAGCAAGTGGTGGGTCTTTTGTGTTAGTAGCAAGTGGTGGGTCTTTTGTGTTAGTAGCAAGTGGTGGGTCTTTTGTGTTAGTAGCAAGTGGAGGGCCTTTTGTGTTAGCAGCAAGTGGTGGGTCTTTTGTGTTAGGAACAAGTGGAGGGCCTTTTGTGTTAAAAACAAGTGGAGGGCCTTTTGTGTTAGAAACAAGTGGAGGGCCTTTTGTGTTAGAAACAAGTGGAGGGCCTTTTGTGTTAGAAACAAGTGGAGGGCCTTTTGTCTTAAAAGCAAATGGTGGGTCTTTTGTGTTAGAAACAAGTGGAGGGCCTTTTGTGTTAGAAACAAGTGGAGGGCCTTTTGTGTTAGAAACAAGTGGAGGGCCTTTTGTCTTAGAAGCAAATGGTGGGCCTTTTGTGTTAGAAACAAGTGGTGGGAATTTTGTGTCAAAAATGGGTGGTGGGTCTTTTCTATTAGAAATAGGTGATGGGCCTTTTGTGTCGGAAATGAGAGGTGGGTCTTTCATGGTAGAAATAAGTGGTAGGCCTTTTGTGTCAGAAATGGGAGTTGGGTCTTTCTTGCTAGAAATAAGTGGTGGGCCTTTTGTGTTGGAAATGAGAGGTGGGTCTTTCATGGTAGAAATAAGTGGTAGGCCTTTTGTGTTAGAAATGGGTGGTGGGTCTTGTGTACTAACAATGGTGGCTTGATCTTTTTTGTATACAAATGACGGTTGGGCATTTGCATTGACTATGTTAACAGAGTCTTTTCTGTTGGCCAAGTCTTTTCTGTTGGCAGAGTCTTTTCTGTTGGTCGAGTCTTTTCTGTTGGTTGAGTCTTTTCTGTTGGCCGAGTCTTTTCTGTTGGCCGAGTCTTTTCTGTTGGCTGAGTCTTTTCTGTTGGCTGAGTCTTTTCTGTTGGCTGAGTCTTTTCTGTTGGCAGAGTCTTTTCTGTTGGCCGAGTCTTTTCTGTTGGCAGAGTCTTTTCTGTTGGCCGAGTCTTTTCTGTTGGCAATATTGGGTGGCAGAACGTCATCACTGACAATGAAGGGTGAATCTTTTGTGCTTTCAATGAGAGCCAGTCCTTTCATGTTGGCAATGGGTTGCGATTCTAGTGTACTGACAATGGAGGAGGGATATTTTGCTCTGAAAATGGGGGGTTGGTTGTTTGTAATGGTAACAGGGAATGGAATTGCATTATTAATGGGGGCATTTGCAAGGCAAGGTTGGAGTTCTGTGTTAACAACTGGGGAAGAGCATTTTGTGTTTAAAATGAGGGGTGGGCCTTTTAAGTTGCCAATAAGGGGTAGGTTGTGTGTGTCAACATTAGGGGTCGAGTGCTTTGTGCTGGAAATGGGGATGTGATAGTGTGTGTTATCAATGGAGGTCAAATAGTTAGTCTTTTCAATGGGGAAAAGGTATTCTGCATTTTGAGTGGGAGTCTGGTATTGTGTGTTGGAAATAGGGCCGAGATCTTCCGTGCTAGCAATGGAGACAGGATATTGTGCAGTGGCAACGTGAAGCGGGAGTTCTACACCATCCTCTCCTTCAATATATGCACCGTGGTAGCCATCAACATCGTATGAACTGATTTCATCATCCAATGGTTCTGTTGAGAAATAAAAGGAGTGAAAATAACAAAATATTTAGCGCAGAACATTGCATGTCAACAGTAAGAAGCAATTATCAACTGTTTTTAAATATTGGTGAATAATACAGAATAATATCAGTGTTCCAAAAATAAATTTATATGAAGTCCATTTTGAGGGCAATCTGATACTTGGCGTGTGTTACCAGAGGCAGGTACTGGCAGCTTAGTGTGTTGTTTGGCCTGCACTGACTTCTTTTGCTGCTCTATTGACACCCAGGGGAGGGCCTGACAGCTGAGTGGACAGTGCTTCGGATTCGTAGTCCTAAGGTTCCTGGTTCGATCCCCAATGGAGGCGGAAACAAATGGGCAGAGTTTCTTTCAACCTGATGCGCCTGTTACCTAGCACTAAACAGGTACCTGGGAGTTAGACAGTTGCTATGGACTGCTTCCTGAGAGGAGTATGTAACAAAAAGGAGGCCTAGTCGAGGACCGGGCCGCGGGGACGCTAAGCCCCGAAACCATCTCAAGATAACCTCAAGATAAGATAACCCAATCCATAATGAGTATCAAGTGTATGATGTTCGAAGTGGCAGCAGATGTGACGTCATAGTAGCAGGTATTATGTTACAGCAGCAGCAGGTATGATGTTATGGCACTGGGTGTGGAGTGGCAGTGGTGGAAAAGGGGTAGAGAGGCCTCCCATGCTGCCATAGCTAACACTGACTCAACAATGGATCTCCCTGCCACCCTTCCATATTGAGTAACACAAGTGCATTCCTCTCATCCCATCCCAAATCCTTATCCTGACCCCTCCAAGTGCTATACGTATAGTCATAATGGATTGGCACTTTACCCTCATAATTCCCTCCTTCACCTAGGGGAGCCGGTTGGCCAAGCGGGGGAACCGGTCGGCTGAGCGGACAGCACGCTGGACTTGTGATCCTGTGGCCCCGGGTTCGATCCCGGGCGCCGGCGAGAAACAATGGGCAGAGTTTCTTTCACCCTATGCCCCTGTTACCTAGCAGTAAAATAGGTACCTGGGTGTTGGTCAGCTGTCACGGGCTGCTTCCTGGGGGTGGAGGCCTGGTCGAGGACCAGGCCGTGGGGACACTAAAAAGCCCCGAAATCATCTCAAGATAACCTAAAGATAAGGTATAATCCGGAGTGGAACACACATGAATAAGTCAATTTTGTAATGGAAGGATGATGTGGATTCAAAGATAGAAAATCATGCCTGACAAAACTGACTTAGAGGAAGTGAGGCCGTATATGTCAATGTTTTCAGATAATGCAACGCTAATGATGTGAGTAAGAATTAAGGAGGAGTATGGAGCACTCCAAGAAAACCTTGACAAACTTCAAGATTAGGCATTTAAATGGCTACTGAAATTCAATCCAAACAAGTGTAAAGTAATAAAGATGAGATAAGGAAATGTATGACGAACAGCATACTACTGTACACCATATGGAGCAGGCAAATATGAAACAGAAAATTAACATTAAAGAGTCTAAACAAGGAAGCTTTCCACTCTATATACACTGCTTTTGTGAGACAATTACTAGAGCATGCAGCACCAGCATGGAATCCACACCTTATGAAGCACAAAAGACAATTTGAGAAAGTTCAAAGGTTTGCAACTAGAACAGTACCCAACCTGAGAGGACTCAGCTGTGAGGTCAGGATAACAAAACCGAACCTTAGGGAATAAACTGTGAATATGATCACTATACTGTATACTGTCTAAACTCGCTTATCGAGCACATATTGGAAGGACCCCCTAACCAGATAAGCCTAATCATATTCGGCTTAAACCAGGCAAGTAAAAAACCAGCGTTGAATGTAATGAAACACCATTTTCTGGGTGAGACCAGGAGGCTCCCCCAGAGCTTACTAGGCTGATATGCTAATGTCAGACTTTGGCATCAGTCATGTGTATGAAGTTTTGTGGACCTACCAGGGACCACGAGCCAGAACCTGGCCCCCTCAGAGAGGCAAGGGGGAGCAATGGCCTATAGAAACCCCAGTGTGGTTGGAAGCATTCTATGTCTGACATTGACTGGGTCAGGCACCCAGAAAGATAAGCATCCCAAAACAAACCCCTACTCTGGTGAAATTATTGCTACCACAAGCCGAACAAGTGGATAGATCTCCCCAAAAAGAAACGAGCAAACGATCATGACGTTACACATTGTCGTGCCGCTGTCTGCACAGCTCCCCTCCCAGGGATGGGGAAGGGGGAGCCCCAGACCCCTCACACCGGCTATCCACCCATCAGTTCTTAGGCTGATGCTAGAGGCAGTGGTCGTGTGCTTGGCTCCAGTTTTTTCAGCATTGTATTTGCGTGTGGTGGCTGTCTTCCAGAGGTGCGAGAGCCAGGAGTTATTCTACGGTACTCGGGCTGCATGTGCCTAGGGTTATCGTCCCTAGGTGCCCTGTAAGTACTGCCCTTGGAGCTTGGGGTTACCTTCCACAACTTCCTCAGGGTCTGCCTCTGCTAGGCCGTATTACTGCTCAGTTTTCGGCTGCCCTTTGGGTGCTTCGGGGTTCTGTCCTCCTGGTTTACCTTAGGGTAAGAGGCAGTTTGCACTGGTGGGGCGCAGGGTACTGCGCAACTTGTTTTCACCACTCACAGCGGCCGGCTCTGTTCCTTGGGGTACGTTGTCCTCTTGCAGGGTTTTGTTTTTGTTTTTCTTTTTGCCTTGTAGGGCGGTCTGCCTTACTTGCCCCTTTTGTGCCTGACCTGTGCACGGTTCTCTTCTGGTGGTGTCCTTGCTAGGTCCCCGTGAGTGTACACGTCCCTGGGATTCAGCTTTAGACAGTTGTTTGGTAGTTTTGGGTGCCGGTTAGCAGTACCCTGCCTGGGGTTACCTGGGCGTGAGTTACCATTAAGCGCTCAGGACCCTGGGAATCCCCTGGGGAGTGCATGGGTCTAATGGATGTGTCCCCGTAGTTCCCCCCCCCCCCTTGCTACGTGCGAGTTCGAGGGTTGCTCGGTCCCCCTTGACTCAGGGTGACCCTCATGGTTTTTGCCTCCATCACGCTGCTGCTGGGTCGGTGACACCTTTGACCCTGAGTCCTGTGAATTCTGTTGCTTGCTGGTAACTCAATTTACCCAATCTCAAGATGATATTCTACGATTACAGGCAGCTTAGGCGTTGCATGCTCGTTTTAGGTTGTTGCAATGCGCTAGGTAGCCGGTCGGCCGAGCGGACAGCACGCTGGACTTGTGATCCTGTGGTCCTGGGTTCGATCCCAGGCGCCGGTGAGAAATAATGGGCAGAGTTTCTTTCACCCTATGCCCCTGTTACCTAGCAGTAAAATAGGTACCTGGGTGTTAGTCAGCTGTCACGGGCTGCTTCCTGGGGGTGGAGGCCTGGTCGAGGACCGGGCCGCGGGGACACTAAAGAAGCCCCGAAATCATCTCAAGATAACCTCAAGATAGGTTAGTTGCTCACCCGAATACCCCAAGGCTGCCCCGTTTTGCTTGTTGGGACCCGGATTTGGGGGTGGGGGTCCCTTTGACCTTGGTTCAGTCCGCTCCCCCTCGTCCTTCCCCTTCTGTGGTGCGTCCTGGTCGACCCCCCCTCCTTTCCCTGCTTCCGGCGGGGCGGGATTCCGGAGTCGTATTGGCTGGAGGACTTTCCTATTTTTGCTTTGGTGGCTTGGCATTCTTTCTCTCGTTCCCGCACGCTTGAGTGGCGCGAGGTCTCGACGGTGGTCCAGGTTTTCCTGGGGGGCGACCTTGAGCACCTCAATGAGTGCTTGTTTGCTCCTTGTGAAGGGCTTGGAGTTCTTCGCTGTGTTCCTCCACCGACTCCTTCACATCAACACCATCCAACTCCAAGCCCAGTCACCGCTTCGGGTAACTCGTCTGCTGAGTTCTCGGGGTTTGGCTCTCCTGGCGGTTCTCGTCCGGGGGGTGTTCAACGTCTTGATGGACAGCCTGTCCCAGTTTGTTCCCCTGTCCACAGAATGGACGGTTGATGCTGACTCATTTAGTTGGCTCTGCCAGACGTTCAGGTGCCTGGAGGTGGACCTCTTTGTGTCTCCAAGCAATCACCCCAAAGAGTCAAGAACTGCATCGAACCCCCCCCCCTCAGTTCAGTCAATGAACCACCGGGGAGCAGTCTGAATAGAGTCGGATTGTCGATCCGCGGGTGACCCGAACTCTCCGAAGCGCAAACCACACCGCCACGAACTTCGCACCATGCTTTGGGCCCGATGGAAGGACGGACCCCACCGCCCCTGGCCGGCCTGGTGAGCACTGGTCACAAAACACCAGCCGAGAGACAATGCGTCTGTGAACACATCGAGCGAGGGCTTGGGTAGGCGCCAAGGCACTGAACCCCTAAAAACTCAAAGAGGAAACCGGCGACGCAGCAGCCAACATAAGGCCCCCGGGGGTCGAACCCAGCAATCGCGAGAGAGGCAGAAGGGAAGTCCCCGAAGGAACCAGAACAGCCAATGAAGCCAAACCCGACCCAGCGGGTAGACCATCATTGCAAAGTTCAGGCTCCCGCACAGACACTCGAGCAACCACACAGCGACCCGGATGCCTCCCAGAAACAAGTGCATGCAGGACCACAGCTGAAGGAGAGAGACTGGAGGAAGAGATAAGGAAGCCATCTGAGAGTCCCACACAAGACCCAGCCAGGTCCGAACCTGGGAGGTAACCAGATGGGACTTTCACCAGTTCAACAGGAACCCGAACCCAGCTAGCTGGGAAAGCACCACACTCCTGGCGAGCAGACACGTGGACCGACTGGGAGCCCAAACCAGCCAGTCGTCGAGGTAAGCTAACACCCGAACCTAACAGAAACAGAGGGGCCACCACGACCCGAGTAAGGCATGTGAACACGAGAGTTGTTAGGTTCAACCCGAACAGGAGACAACGAAAGCGGTAACTCTGACGCCCCACAACAAAACCAAGTCGGTCCCTGAACCATGGATGAATCGGGACATGCCAATATGCGTCCATGAGGTCCAGGGACACCATCCAAGCGCCCAGCTTCAACAGAAGCCGGACCTGGGACAGAGTGGTCATCCGAAAGGAGAGGCAGGCAAAAAACCCAGGGGTTCAGACGGGACAAGTCCAGAATGAACCGCAGGTCCACACAGAGTCATTTCGGAACAGGAAACAGGCAGGAAACCCACCTGAGGGATGTCGTCGTTTCGACCATACCCATGCGCACCCACTCCAATCCGACCTGACAGTGCAAGAGTAGAGGCCTTCCCTGCCAGCCCCGAACCCCCGAAGGAGGAGGAGCCATCCAACCTCACCGAAAACAGTGAGACACGACATGAAAAATGCACAAATCGTGAGACCAGGCAAGAGCGAACCGAGCAAGCACCCTTCCCCATCAACATGTTATGTCAATGTGGGGGGGGGGGACCGAAGGCAGCACTGGCTCCAAAACTGGCAGCTGTAGCCCACCCTGACAAGGAAGCGAGCACCACCTATCGACACATGAGACACGCAGCGAAAAAACGCGATGGCACATCCCGCAGGATCAGCGCAAACAGCTCCAAAGCGCAGATGATGCACGAGCAGCCGAGACCAAGGCACCAGACCCAGGAACGGACCCAAACGCCTCTACATCCTCCGCAAGCCAATCCAAAGAAAGCTTAAGGAGGGGAAAGAAACGCAGGACCGAAGCCAACGAGCCCCCGCGCGCACAAGTCCTCAGCCACAAGAGCAGCCGACAGGAAAGGAACCTGCACATCAAGCCGAACCGCGCCAACATCTCACAGAAGGGCCAGAGTGAAAAGACACTAAGTAAGGTGCTTAAAGTCGCCCCCCAGGTAAACCTGGACCACAGTCAACCAGTCGAGCCACTCAAGCGTGTGGGTACGACAGAAGGTTTTCCAAGCATCCGGCGAGAACATTGGGCAGTCCACAAGCCAGGATTCACCCGGCTTTTTAATTTAATTTTAGTTTTATGTTTCACAAGGTATGGATTCCAAGCAGGTGCTGCATATGCCAGTACTGGTCCAACAAAAGCTGTGTAGATTGCTTTGAATGCATTCTGGTTTAGGCTTCTAAATGACGTTCTAATGTTTGCCAGCGTTCTGTATGCTTCCGATGTCACCCTGCCTACGTGTGTGCCTCTGGTGCTAGTAATGAAATTTTGTCCACTCTCATATTGAGGGTGTGAATGGTGCTTTATCTAAACAGTCCATCATCAGAATGAGTCTTGACTTTAGCCAGTCACCTAAATTCCCCACTGTTTTAACTTGTTTTATCTTACATCTATACAGTACGATAATTAACAAGTAAAAAAAGAAACTTACCATCTTTTACTTCAATCATGTCATCATCTATGCAGCTTTCTAAGCAATGGCAAATATCAACTCCCTGAAACAGAAATAATTAATAATAAAAACAATCATAATAATAACAATAATAATAATAATAATAATAATCATAATAATAACAATAATAATAATAATAATAATAACAACACAGAGAAATCACATTAATGTGATATATCAAAGAACAAATCCACAGGAGCCTTGATGAGGGTTTGAACCTATGCACTGAGTGTTCCCAGACGTGCTCTAGTCACTCGAATGAAATGTTCTTTACCCAGATCGTGTCGTAGTACAACCGACTAGAGCGTGTCTGGGAACTCTCATCAAGGCTCCTGTGGATTTGTTCAATAATTCTAACTCGAACACTCGACTGCACTTGTCGGCTCCGCCGTCCCTCCACTTTTATCTGCTGTCCCTGAGCTCTCTGCAACCCTCAAATGATGTAGCTTTCCCATCCTCAAACCCTCATTTCGACCTCACTAGTGTTGTTCCCTGGAGAAAGCTGCACCCGACGTTCTCTGCTGCCACATCAACGAGTCTTCACTATTGTGCCTGCCTACATTTATCCTGCTACAATGAATAACAGATCCAAGTCCGGTAAGCCAACTAAGGCAGATAGCACACCGATCAGGAATAAATCAACTAGCCAGGCTAGCAACAAGGTTAGGTCCAGCTGTCCTTCCCTCGGGGGCCGCTGGGGGAGGGGGGGTACCGACCCTCCCCTTGTCAACAATAACAAACCATCCCAGCTGGCTGGTGCATTGAGATCATCACGGATCATGCAACAATTATGCAGCCATATGGATCAACTTAAACGAGCTGCTGCCCCTTGTTTCGATTCCAAGCGCTTTCCTGATAACCCTTGGCTCAAGTTATTAACCCAAATACATGTAGATGCAATCAGACTTAATAATTAACATGAGAAGTTAAGCTTCAGCAATGCTCAAGATTAATCAAGATCTGTCTGCCAGAGTAGACCTCCTCCAACAAGAATTAAACTCTCTCAAGACCACAGTTACTGACTTTAAACCAGCAGAAACCACTAGAAAACAGGAAGCCATGCTACAACAGTTTGAAAACCATCGTAACACCCTTCAACAGCATCACACTATTACCCAAGACGAATCAGACCAACATAAACTCCTTGAGTCTGTCGTTATCTCTTCACGTGATTTTCCCCAAGAATCTGAAGGAGAAGACTGTGCTTCTATCGTGATCCATGAATTGCAGAATAAGATTATATATTCAATCTAAACTAATGACATCAAATCAGCTTATAGAGTGGGTATCAAATCACCTGGTATAAATAACAGGAGAATTCGAGTTACACTAGATAGCTGCTCCCACAAGTCAGACCTTATCAAATCTGCACTCGCTAGTAAATCCACTGTTTATGTGAATTAATGTCTGACCAGTTTCACACAAAATCTCTTATTTAAACTGCGTGGTTTCTGCAAAAATTCCCCTGTAATTTAAATTTTTTTTGTGCGAGATGGTAAAATTATAGCTAGGAGGACTGACACTGGAAAAACCTATTTAATAACCACTGAAGCTCACCTCAATTCTTTCCTGAGTGACTGGGATATATAAGCAGAATTAAAATTATAATCTCATTTAACTACCATTGTGTACTTTAGTTCTGCCTTTCCTTTCAAAAGGTTTTAACTTTATTAAAAAAAAAATTGTCATCTTTATTATTGCCTTTTTTTTCTTTTTTACTCCCATGTTCCATAGTACACTGGCTTTGCCCTGTTTACAAGAGCCCCTGATGAAGGTGTGGTTCACCACACCTTCATCAGGACTCTTGTAAACAGACGCCATTTTTTTTAAAAATCGTGGGTCAAATTCCCGGGTGTTAGGGGCCTCAGTATTGAGTGAGCTACCAAGCCTGACACACGCAGCATGAGCTCACAGCACTGCTGTTCAGCTTGTGACCACAGAATTGCCTAAAAATGTCATAATATACTTGTTTATGCTATTATGTAGATATGATATTATTACAGAAGACCCCTGACTGTGATAAAACTGACCAGGGTTCTGATAATAGCAAGATTGTGGTGATATTTAGCGCTGTGCGCCATGTTGGGAGGAGTAATGCTGTAGGAAGGAGGGTGGTGGCGATGTCTTTTGAATGTGTGTGGCCACCTTTTATTGACTGCACTCACCATACCAGCTTAGTGATTCGCTATGGTGAACACAAATGTAGATACTTATATATAACGTGTGTATAGAGGGTATAAACAGCAAGAGGAATAGGTTGGGAGCCGCCATTTTGGTGAGGGCGGTGGCATCGTCTGCACGACTTATCATGTTGTTTACTGGTGACCACGATGGTCTTTGGGTACCATACCAGTTTACTTGTACAAGTATGGTGAATAAAACAGGTAGATATTTATATATAATGTGTGTGTATTGCGTAATAACACCACAAACAGTATTGTTGGAGGAGAAATATTAGTGCGTCTGGCCTTGAGGGCGGCAGCCACCAACTGACTGTGTGAGGTCCTACGTCTTTATGCCTTTACTCATCATACAAGCTTAGATGTACAGTTATGAACAAAACATGTAAATACTTATATATAACATCTGTATATAATAGCAAAAACAGTATGGTGGGAGGAGAATGGTGGCAAGTCAGGTGAGGTGAGGGAGGGAGGGAGTGGCAGCCAGTGGCGGGCTGCCACTGCCACTCAGCATACCAACTTAGTGGTTCGTTATGGTGAACACGAATGTAGATACTTATATATAGCGTCTGTATATAGTGAATAAAAGCAAAAACAGTATTGTGGGAGGAGAATGTGGGCGAGTCAGGTGACTTGAGGGAGGGAGGAAGTAGCAGCCAGTGGCGGGCTGCCACTGGCACTGCCACTCAGCATGCCAACTTAGTGGTTCGTTATGGTGAACACGAATGTAGATACTTATATAATGTCTGTATATAGTGAATAAAAGCAAAAACAGTATGGTGGGAGGAGAATGTTGGCGAGTGAGGTGTTGAGGGAGGGAGTGTGGGGCTGGCTGGAATGTGGCGGTCACTCCTCGTTACTTTTTGACACATAATAGCAACTTAGTGGTTTGTTATGATGAACAAAACATGCAGATACTTATATATAACCTATGTATATTGTGTAATAACCGACAAAGTATTTGTTTACTGTTTGATGAACATAATTGAATCAACAATATGCACACCATATTTTTGAGTACAGCGATGATTCACTCATTTTATTATATAAATATATCACACTACACACTATTGAATAATATTACAGCAAAAAACTACGAAAAATCAATTAGAGACATTGAAATAATTAGGTAATTATCTCTTTGAGGCAACTCCGGCCTGACAGCTGGCGAGCAACAGACCGCCTGGGACGCACGCTGAGTCAGCACCTGCTTTTTGCCAGACTTCCCCGCCCTATAGTGGGCAATATATGCCACTTACGATTTTTTTATTATTTTTCCCATGATCAGTGAACACAAATTAACAGGTTAGGAAAGAAAAAGATTTTTTTTTTTTTATTTGTATGCGCCTGTGGATATCAAATGGTATAAAGCCATGCGCCATTTAAGGGTTAAGCAGCCTACCTCATTTTTGTGTATAGTTTTATATATTCTTTTTTTTCATAGCTAGTTCTTTTATCATTGCCTTTTTTGGCTTTTCTGTAAAACAGCCCTCTTATGCAAACTATTATAAACCCAGACCTTAACCTCTTATCTAATATCTATGACAATCATCACTTTAACCCTTAAACTGCGCAACGCGCCTGCAGGCTCACGTCTGGTTTGCGCAACGCGCCTCCGGGTATTTGTATTTTTCACTTTCCATTCAAAACTCCCGCAGCTACATGGGGTTCACATCAGCTTCCTCAGGGCTCTTGTAAACAGACGCCATCTTTAAAAAAAATGGTGGTCCTCATTCCCGGGTGTGGGAGCCTCAGTAGTGAGTGAGCAACCAAGGCTGGCGCTCGCAGTATGAGCGCACAGCACTGCTGTTCAGTGTGTAACCACAGCATCGCCTAATAATGTCAAAATATATATATAACTTGTATTATTTAGCCATGATAGTATTATAGAAGAGCCTAAGTGTGATAATGACTGGGTACAATGTTCAAATATCAGTGATTCAATGCTGTTCACGATGTTCACAGCACTAGCCACAGCACCACAGCATTATTTCGTCCATCTAGGAATCTTCAAATGATTTCTTAGGTTCCTTTTCAAAATAAACGTGTGGTCAATTATTCATTTACAGGAATTAGTGACCAGGATTGTGATAATAGCAGGATTGTGGTTATAATTAGCATTGTGCGTAGTATTGTGGAAGGAGGAATTTTGGTGAGGGAGGGAGGGCGAGAATTGAGGTAGCCTCATTGTGTGTGTGTGGCTGCCTCTCTTGTTTTGCTCACCATACTAGCTTAGTGGTTCGCTATGGGCAACACATATGTACATGGGTATATATAGTGTAAGAACAGCAACAGGAGAATGTTGAGAGGAGCTATTTTGGTGAGGGAGGTGACGTAATCGTAGCGTCGTCTGCTGTCGGCTGTGTGATTTTTCATGCAGTGTATGGTGGCCACTGTACTGTTTGGACACAATACTGGCTTACTTGCATAGTTCTGGTAAATAAAACATGTAGATAGGTATATAGAACATGTGTAATAAGAACTATAACAGTATGGTGGGAGGAGCAATGTTGGCAAGTAAGATGTTGGAGTGAGGGAGACTGGCTGGGTGTGGCTCCTCTCACTCGAGGTGTTCTGAGTGTGTTGATGGTGAATGTATATAGTGTGTGACAGTGTATAGTGTGTAAATAGATTGTATATATACATAAATTAGCATGATAAATAGTAAATATGTGCTGCATATGTGTACACAAGTGTCATGCACGTAACACAGTGTCTTCGGACAGTATGGATGTTTTACTGCCATAATATAGTGTACGTGTTCACTATACATAGGATTAGCACGTAAAAACAAATAAAATGTATTTGGAACTGTGTGAAAAAAATGAACAAAAATATATTCGCGGCAACTCGCGCACCC